TTTTTCATTATCTATTTGTCACTGAACTACTGAAACTGTTCACATTTTACCCTTATGACCGGTAACAACCGGTCATAAGGGTAAAATATGAACAGTTTCAATAGTTCAGTGGCAAATAGATAACGAAAAAAAGTTTAGTGACTAAATGTAAACAAAGTCGAAAGTTTGTTACCCTTTCAAGTCATTATCCCAAAGAAATTTTGATTGTCAATAGAATTGAATTAACAAAGATGTCTAACGATGGCCAAGAACGTCTTATTATACGTTAATAAAAGTTGGTCAGAATGGATGTCCATGCCTTAATTACTTATATTTGACATGATATTATAAAGATGATACTTACGACTAAAATCACTTTTATCCTTATTTTATTTTTACACTAAAATAAATTATGCAAATAATATTTCATTCACAACCATACATTATTTTTCTACACTAAAAGTTATGTTCTCTAGTATATTCTATTTTTAAGCTTATATAAATTGTCAAGAATACTCTTCAACTTATTAGTTTTTTATCAGTTATTTATATTTTATTGAATAAAAAGTTTATAAAATATATTATTACAAATTTATGGCCAAATTAACAAATTGTATATTATTAATCATAATTAGGTTTTTCTTTTATTAGAATAACATTTGGTAAATAAAAAATTTATATTTAAAACGCATTTTTATATATTTATGATTAATTAATTTCGCTTTAACATAACATATTATAATAATGAATAAATATTCAATTTATGAGATAGTTATTTTTATCAACTAAACTAAAATAGAATAAAATGAAAAAAAATTAAAATTGACGTGTGAAAATGTCAGAATAATATAACATCAAATTTGGTTTTATATTGTTTTTTTACATCAAAATGGTGTAGAAAATAAAATGGGTCGGAGATAACTCCACTCATTTAGGTGTAAAAATTTGGTTTGGTGTTAGACTGGAGATGTATTAATGTGACAATAAGAAGAGTTTAAAAATAATTAGAGCATATCTATTGATAGTTTTTTTTTAAAATAAATTCTATCTGGAAAAAAAGTTACAGCAATAAATAAGAGTTTTTTTAAGCTATTTCCACGACTTCCTAAACTTTAACACTTTAAGAAGGGCAAGCTACCCCACAACAACAAAATTAATTAAGAAACAAGGTTTTTTTTTGTAATATATTTTGACACATTCAATATAATATATTTTGGGATAATGACTTCTGAGGGTAATTACTTTTTCATCTTGGTCACGTTTAGGCAATATCTTTTTTTTACACATTTGATTATTTAACATGTTAAATATGTTCACATATTACCAATGTCACATGCTATGGTAATATGTAAACACATTTAACAAGTTAAATGGTTAAATGTGTACAAAAAAATTGTCTAAATTTAAACAAAACGAAAAAGTTAAATATCCTGATAAGTTATTTTTTTCACTTTTAATAGCGATTTTATTTTTCATATTTATTTGTATTATTTTTTCAAACGTTATTTTTAAAAGTATCCATAATGATTGATTATTTATCCCATTTATAGTCTGTTGATTTTGACAAATCAATTTTCTAATAATTTTTTAGTAAAAACTTACTATCATAAATATTAATTAATTATCGAACAATTCTAAACTCTATTTTTTAATTAATAAATATTTTTTTGTGAAATATTTTATATAGCATCTTATATTTTTTTAAACATATGCAATATTTTTAAAGTAAATAGTATCAAACAATAAAATTAAATAAATTAAATATCTAATAATAAATATGAAGAGTCTTTTAAAAAATAAAAAGAAAATATTACGTAGCAAATAAAAAACACAAAAAAAAACTATATAATGTAAATGTTTTAAAATTATTACAACTTTTTTATACTTTTTAAATAGAAGTTTATAAATTTTTTAATTTTTTAGTACAACGTTCTAAACTAGTATTTAACGAAAGTATTTTAAATGTTATAAAAAAAGTATTAAATTGTCATATAAAATCTATGAAATGCTTTAAAAATGTTGTAAAAGAAAGTTTAGAAATAGTTGTATAAAAGTTAGAAAAAATATTGTATGAAAATGTAAAAAAAAATAATAATAATAATAATAATAAATTAAAAACTTGTAAGAAAAATTTTAAACATTTAGAAAATATTTGGTTTAAAAAAACTTGTATAAAAATTATATGAAAGTATAAAAAAAAAGTTTTAAAAAAATTATAAGCAAAGTTTAAAACATTGTATTAGAAAAAAAATATAGGAAAAAAATATCATAAAAATGTTGTAATAAAATATAAAAAGTCTTAAGAAATTTATAAATAAAAAAAATGTTCAAAGTTAGGCAACTTTTTTTGTACACATTTAACCATTTAACTTGTTAAATGTGTTCACATATTATCATCATCACCTGCTATAGAATGTAATAATGGTAATATGTGAATATATTTAACAAGTTAAATGGTCAAATGTGTACAAAAAAATAAAAAGTTGCCTAAACGTGAAAATACGAAAAGGTAATTACCCTCACATGTCATTTTCCCATATATTTTAAATCTTCAAAAATATTTTTCCCTATAAAAAATTAAATTTATTTTGCCCTATTTTCAAAAATTTTATGGGTCCACCATGTTATATGGTTAGTTTTGACACTCTTTATAACAATTTAGTTAACACTTTAGTTATATTTAAACATTAGTATATTTTATTACTTAAACTATTTGATTAAATATACAAAATAGATTGAATATGTTTTATAGAAATTTATATAATTACAAAATAATTTTCAAAATTATAAAAATTTCAAAGATCAAAAGCATTCCATAACATACTATTTAATAGTTTTCTATTTATTACAAATATTAATATCACCTAATGTTATTTTTCAAAAAGACAACCTACACTTAAAATGTGGAAATTCAAATAAATATATTTATATAATGAAAAATATAAAGACAAATTAGTTAATTTAAACAAAACATGTTTAAAAGGTTAAGCATTAGAATGTGACTATAACAATATTTTTTATCGATAAAAGTTAATAGAAATCTTATGGAACAAAACTAATTATGCATTTTTAGATGAGATAATCACTTAGGTTGGTAACAAAATTAAAGTTTTGTTCATATTTAGTCATTTTTTTGTATACTATTTAACTGCGAACTAGTTTCTTGAATGAAAAAAATATTATTGCAAACGGTTATTACCGGTCATAAGAGTATTTTTGAATACCAAAATCAAGTTTACTGATACATTGTATACAAAAAAAAATGATCGAATGTGAGATTGTTCATTGATTTTATTATATACATTGTGTATTGGTCATAGTTCCATTTTAATTTCCTTCTTATCTTGACCAAAAGTAATTAGGCACTAAAAACGAATTACTAATTACGGTAATTATAGTAATTAAGAAATATTCTGGTTAGCATTCAAATTTCATCTTCACTTAAAAACTTCAATATTTTTTAAGCTTTCACAAGTGAGGATGTCAAATGGATAGGAACATCAAACACTTAAATCAACATTTGAGTGCTAACTAGAATTTAGTAGATTTTTTATTGTTTTTATTATTATTCATCCAAAAATGGTTGTATTTTTTCAAGAATTAAGTGTATTCTTTTTTCATTATTTATGTTGTTATTCTTTCAAAATCTCTATTATAATAAATGAATAGTTTTAATCTTCTTTTGTCAAGTGTCATTCTAATACAACTCCTCATTAATATTATGTCATGTGTCATGTTTGATATATTAGACAACTCATTTTAAAATTCAAATTCAAATTTATATTTTATAATTATATGTTAAATTTGAAGTTATAATAACTTTAAATTTTTGATATATCTCTTAATTAATAATTTATTTAAAATAACTTATTTAAAATAATTGATTAATAAATATAAAATTTTCTAATAAAAGTTTAATTAATTTTATAACTGTGGTTCCCACGGATAATAAATTAGTTGACTAGAATAAATAGATTCTTCATTGTTTTTCCTAAATTTTGGGATTAGATTTTTATTTATGGGTTTGAATGAGTTCCTTAAAATCTGTATAACCTCGCTTTTATATTTTCATAAAATATGTGATCTACCTTTTTTAACTGTTTTTAAAGAAATTAATTAATAATAATCGAGATAATTACATTTATTGTATGTTAATCATAACCTTGATTTTGAAAATCCGATAGTCGGGATGTTGTATATTTACACACCAGATGTCATTTATATTTGAACACACACACACACACACACACATATATATATATATATATATATATATATATATATATATATATATATATATATATATATATATATATATATAAACTTCATTCTATTAATTATTTTTTAACAAATGTATGTTACATACAATAATCCTTAAATTGAGTTATCACAAAATTATAATAAAATAAAATATCCTTAATTTGAATTAATTATGAATTTTTAAAGCAATATTTATTAAATAAGAATTACTTTCTAACATACTTTTAAAGAAATATCATATGTATTTTTAGAAATATTACACATACATTGAAGTAATACATATCCTTACGTTGAAATAAATTCTCCATAAATAAGCAACTAACATGTCACAAATGTTTATTATTACATTTAATACTAGCATTTAAATTACTGTATTTTATTTTTAAAAACCTTTTAAATTTTTATATGAATTCGATATATAAAGATCAAAATTTGTTATTATGATTAAGTAATATCATTTATTACTGGTGTTACAAATATTAATTATTATATTTAAATTATAATCATTATATTAAACTAAACTAGAAATGTATATACCGAAAATTAAAGGGACTAAAATTGATAATCAAAAGTGTTATGTATCAATGTTATTTATTTACATCAAAATCGTGCAAGAACGTATAATGTTTGACGATGTGTTTACACCATTATGATGTAAAGTATTGGATTTGAAGTCACCGTTGAAAATGCCCTTTAAGTTATATTTTATTTTCGTTTATCTACAAAATATGAATTTCTAAGGAGAATTTAATTTTTTGCAGGTAAAAATACAAGCAAAAGACGAACTGTGATAATAATAATTATTATTATCATAGTGTGTGTCGTCATAGTAATTACATCTATTTGTATCTTCATGAGGAAGAAGCAGCAGCAAAAGCCTCCAATAAAAAATCTAGAAAGTAAGCACGATGTTCGAAACTTGAAAGTCATATTTGGAACATGCATGAACTAAAAGAGTCATGACTTATGTAATAATTAAGCAACACAATGCTATCGTCTCGACCTTGTGCTTGAACTGTAGTAGTGTAGTTATTGTATTAGGGACAACACTAGTGCTTGTAGTATAACTTCATAGTTAACACAACTTCTAACTCTTCCTCATCATGTTGTACTAGACGAAACCATGGATATTAGCACTTCTGAATGTTTGCAATACAACTTTAGTACAATGAAAGCAGCAACATATGACTTCTCGGAAGACAATAAGCTCGGAAAAGGCGGATTTGGAGCTGTTTATAAGGTAATAACATGTGATTTGTAGTCACGTGCCAAAAGTTAAGAATTTTTTGATATTTCTCCAACGTTGATATATATTGGTATGTGATTTTTAGGGTAAACTTGGAGATGGACAAGAAATTGCAGTTAAGCGGCTAGCAAGGGATTCTGGGCAAGGGGACATAGAATTCAAGAATGAGGTTTTGCTTGTTGCCAAGCTTCAGCATCGTAATTTGGTTAGGTTGCTTGGTTTCAGCATAGAAGGAAGTGAGCGACTTCTCATTTACGAGTTACTGTCAAATGCAAGTCTTGATCAGTTTATATTTGGTAAGTTCTGAAGAGCGACCTCTTTCTCGACCCAACTTGTTGCATCCCTCAAAAGGCTTAAAAAACTAGATATTCCACAAATTACTGTTATGTTGTTAACGAAATACTTCTCATACGACATCTCAAGAATTAAATTCAACAATACTTGTAACCAAAAAAGTTTATTTTTGTTTGTTGAAAAGGATCGAATCAACGATGTTTACCAATTACACATGTGGGGTAGCAAATGATGTTTTTTTGTAGTGAATATTGTTACCGATTCGACTTATATACTTCTTGTTGGTGTTTGTAGATCCAACTAAGCATACAATACTTGATTGGGAAAAGCGATACAAGATTATTAAAGGCGTTGCCAAGGGACTTTTATACCTTCATGAAGACTCCTGTCTAATGATTATTCATCGTGATTTAAAAACCAGTAATATTTTGTTAGATATTGAAATGAATCCTAAAATTGCGGATTTTGGCATGGCCAGATTGTTTAACCCTGAGGAAACTCAAGGGGACACAAATCGAATAGTTGGAACCTAGTAAGTATACTTGTCTTATTCCCATGTAATAAAGTGTAACTACTGACCTTTTGTCGTTCTTTATTGCATCAAATAGTGGTTACATGGCACCAGAATATGCCATGCACGGCCAATTTTCAGTAAAATCAGATGTATTTAGCTTCGGAGTTTTGGTGTTGGAAATGGTAACAGGTCAAAAGAACCAATACATTCGTAATGGAGAGAGCATGGAACACTTTCTTAGCTATGTAAGTACCCAATGATTCAATAAACTCTACAAGAAAACATATACACAAACAAAATCAGATTATTTGTACGAAAACCTTCCCTTAAAATTTAAGTTTCTAAATTTAACTAGTGTGCCTGTTAATAAAAAAAAAAATTGTTAATCTCTTTTAGGCATGGAAAAGTTGGCAAAATGGGACTGTGTCAAGCATTATAGATCTCACATTGACGACAGGATCTGGTTCATTATGTGACATCACTAGAATTATCCATATTGCCTTATTATGCGTTCAAGAAAATTCTAGTGACAGGCCAACCATGGCTGAGGTTGTTCATATGCTTAATAGCTTCTCTCTCGTGCTTGCAATACCAACAGAGCCTGCATTTTTCATGCGTGGTACCATTCATCCCCAAGTGCCACTCGTGAATTTTTCCGAAAATCTTGTCTCCGTATCTGAAATAGCTCCTAGATAGGTTTTGAGAATGCACATAACCCTACGATTGAAGGTTTCATGTTTTAAAAGTGTTACAGATGCTATTTGACATGTTACAGATTTAAACAAGTTGATGAGAATTTGAAGCAATGTGTAGGCACGATATGTTTTATTGTCTTTTTGATCGGAAATTGTATTATAACTATGAAAGTGCTAAAGGAACGAAGTACAAATTTATTCAGACTTTGGATGGAAAAACATTAATCCATCGCGTTTCAACCCGAATCAACGCATATAAAGCCAAGGAACCTCGGAACAATTTTTTATCCATAAAAAAGAAAGAGACTGAATGTGGTCGACTACGCATCTCGTTCCTAGTTGTCGACAGACAACAGATTGAAGATAGATGTATTGCACCTAAAAGCTTGGATTTCTTTTGGTCCGAAAGGATTGAAGTCATGGACAAAAAATGTTGCAAATTAGATTGTAATTCTAGCTTCAAATTACACCATTCGACAACCCATTCTCATGTCTCGTTGGCAAACGAGCAATTGAGTAAATATCAATCTATTATCAAACTAATTTGATCATACAAATAGTAAAGCTTATTTAAAACTTGACAATGATCTAAGAACAAAAATCAACACAAAAGATTACACAGCGTAAACCTATAGATATTCATACAATGATAAGCTCTTTCAAAATTGTATGCGTGTCAATGTTGTGAAGAACGACATCAGAATATGACGATGGTCGCCCTCGCTCAATGTTTTATACTTCATCCAACTTTTAGTCCACAGCTTCCAGCTAGTTCGACTTTTAGTCCTCTACTATAATCATTTATTATTTTGGAAGCCTTTTCGTTTGCAGGAATTTAAGAATATATTTAAATGTTTTTTCCACAAAAACTAAAAAAATATGTTGCTATTTACAGAATTTCTATGGAAGATACGTTTCTATTTCCATGCTTAAACAAGACCTCACGTGTTTAAAAGCTAAAATTAGACATTATGCTATTTCCAGAATAATATAGAAAATAAGATGTTTCTAGAATTTTACAGAAACTACATTGTTATTTCCATGCCAAGTGAGTAACATTCCTAGTTCCATTTATATGTTCATTATAGCAAAATACTTTTATTCTTTTCTACTAAAACATTGTATTTTCAAAAAGAAATATGAAACGAGAAACAAATTATATACATTCTACACACGTAGCAAAAATATAAATTATAAATTTGGATCATAAAGGAGGAATTTGGGGCAAAAATTGAGAGATAATGTGATGGTAATGAGAAGTTTTAGCCCAACATGTGCCTAGCCCAAAAAGACTTTTGGTGTCCTTTGGAGGGCAAAATGGGAAAAGCAAGAAAGTAGTTAGAAAGTTTGTTAGAGAAGAGATGACAAAGGAATAAAACGGAATGGAGCTAACTAATGACGTAAGAAGATTCCATAGATTGTTTTGGCTCTAGCACTATCTGCATAGAGAGAGGAGGTTTCACGGGTACAATTTTCTGTTCATTATTCAATAGTTGATTATTCACAGAGTTCTTCAGAAGGCCAGGTGAAATATAGAAGTCGTCTGATGAGACAAAACCATGAAGTTTGAAGGATTAATTTCAGACATCTCTGTGATTATCATGTATACAGTATTTAACAATTACAATTGCCTTTCCTTACACGTTAATGTTAATGTGGGTTCTTAGTTTAATTCTTTAATATTTGAAATGGGACAACTTGTTATGGTGCTAAGAATGAACTGGTCAAAAACTTTGCTGCAATTCTAATGGTTCTATTAGTTTAGATTGTTTCTATGTTATTTCGCGTCTTTATCATAAAGACCTCATAGTTTAACGAGTTGTATATTCAGTCCTTCGAGTTCTAACATGTTTTGAAACAGTAATGAACAATCCTAGGGTAAAAATTCATGAATCAAGTTCTGTACTTTCTATGTAAAGATAATAATATATTTGAACTAAGAAACGTCGGCATGGTGTAGATGATTTCAAATTCTTAGAAGCCTTGTTGCTTAATTGGGCATATTATTTTTGAAAAATCCATCCAATTTCAACGTTATACCTTTATTTTTTAAATACCAAAATTACCCTTAAAAATTTAGGGTTCACAGTATACTGAAAAACCCAGGTAGAAAATAATAATAATAACAGTGGATCATACGAAAAGATAAATAGCAAAAACATTAATCAAAACGTTGGCAATGTTCTAACCTTTAGAGTCCAGTTCATCACCCCAAAAGACAAAATAATAACAGCTGAAAACAGTTATAATTGTTTGAAAGATTGTAGGGACATCAGAATGCATTGATAAGAACATTAGATCTTAGAATGCCAGAATATCAGTACCCTTTCATTTTGGCAACGTACAGCACTCAATCCACTATCATCAAGCGAATGAGAGACTCTAAATTGTTGCCTGAGCAGTATGCAGTAATACTATAAACAACTTAAATCTACTTTTCAAACAAAAAACCAATGAAAATCGAAAGTAAAAGAAAGCCTCAGAAAGTGGATGTGAGTACTAATCAAAGGAGGCTCTCAAAGAGAACCCTTTCAGATGGTACGGACAATACATCATACATCATCGGCAGTTTATCAGTGACTTTGATATTCACATACGAAATAAAGATAGGGAAAAAGGAAATAGAAGAAAAAGAAACATCCATGGACGACTGGTGGTTGAAGGACGGCGTCGGCTCTATGGCGTTTGAGATATGAGAAGGGGATTTTGCACCTTTATAGAGAGTAAGAAACCCTAATTATCGCTATCCCACCAAAATTACCACACCACGGCTTCACGCTTTCAGGATGTTAATTTTAAACTCTTTAAATTTTAGAATTTTACAATAGATAATTACGAAAAAAAACACTATTTTTTTAAATATTCGGTTTAACCATCAATTTTTAATAGGTTTAACCATCAATTTTTAATAAGTTCTTAAAAACCACCACGTTTCGGTGAAAAGTTTGAATTCAACAGAATTGCATTTCTCGCATGGGTTGTGTTCGGTTAGAGTTCAGTGGTGCTGCGAGAGTGGAAGCGAGAACGAGGATTCGTCAGCCAGGGTGAAGATTAAGGTCTCCAGTTGTCAGCATGGGAGGTGGATTGAGGTGTCAGACTTGACCAGATTTCAAGAGTGTTCTTCCAGATTTCAGAGGATGGGCGATCTTAAGGTTTAACTGGGGACTGATCGCTAGCATTGGTAAGTACATGTTGTCATCAGCGGATTGTTAAAAAGCAAGAAGGATTGGGAATCCTTCAATTCTTACGTGTCGCGAAGACTTAGTCGAATCTAAGTGGGGGAGAATCGATCAAGTATTCAGGAGCAGAAATAGGTGTGAAACTAGGATGAGTTTCGCATCCCCATCAGGGAGGAAGGTGGTCGAGTGGCAGTCTTGATTGAGGATTGGGTGAGTTGGGAGTTCAGAAAATGTTCCAACAGTTGGTTCACGCATTTCCTTGGCATTGGATAACAGGTTTAGGGAACCAGGTTAGAGGTCCAAATAGAATTCAAGTTCAGTTGAGTGTTAGGTCGAGTGCGTGTTCGACCCAGTATGGACAGTGTTGTAAGACTACGGGGGTAGCCGTAGCATTCACAAGCGGTCAGATAGTATGGAAAGTGTTGTAAGACTACAGGGGTAGCCGTAGCATTCACTAGCAGTCAGATAGTATGGAAAGTGTTGTAAGACTATGGCGATAGCCGTACGTAGTATTCACTAGCAGTCAGTTAGCATGGAAAGTGTTGTAAGACCGCGGGGGTAGCCATAGCATTCACTAGCGGTCAGATAGTGATAGAATGTTGTAAGTCTGTGGGTGTAGCCCTAGTATTCATAAGGTTGGCAGATAGTGATAGAGTGTCGTGAGACTGCGGGTGTAACCGTAGTTTTCACTAGGTTCATAGATAGTATGGGAGTGATGTTAGATCACGAGAAGAACAGTAGCACCCACCAGTCCTTGTGCAACAGTGATGACATGGAAATCCATGCATTGGGTTACTGAAATTACGCAGATGGTTTAGATTTGGTTGAGCTAGTGATAAGACCGTAGGAACACCATGGCGGTTATGGGAACAAGGAAGCAATGGACCGCATGAGGTCAGGTGGTGATATAAGGCTACCTTTAGTTATGTAGCAATCACTTTCAGTCTTGGAGTTGGTGACATCGGGATTCGACGTGTGGATTCGATCGGTTGGATAAGGAGGTCGTTAGAGCCATAGTGGCAGGATAACGGATGGCAACTACTGTCAGATGAGGATTTCATTCGGAAGTCACGAAGGGCGACTATATGGGAGCCTTTGGCTCAGTAGCCAGGTAGGAACCCGATATTTCAGATGTTTGACAGACGGGTTGAGACCAGGAAGGTCTCGGTGGGGTTTGGAAAGCAGTCGGGAGGCAATTCAGTGTTTCAGACAGTTCAGTGTACCAGGCAGTTCAGTGTTTCAAGCAGATCAACGTTTCAGACAGTTCCAGTGTATCGGACAATATTGGTGTTTTTAGGATTTCATGAACGGACGGAGTAACTGATCGATTAGGAAGCGATAAGTCACTCGTCGTGGGATTAAATAATCTCAGAGTAGTGGATTTGACTCTGTTGCACAACTCTCATATGAGTCTAACCGTTGCAGGGATGAATCTTCTACTCGAAGGATTATCTGATCCTTTCGTCAGGTGTAAGTGTTCTGTAGTCGTTTATGGACAATGACTTGTTTCCTTTTCAGCAACAATGTGATGGGGGACAGTTCGGTGTGAGGGGTCTGACAGGGAGCCAAACCACTGAGACCTTGGGGTTCGGATTCCAAGGAAAAAGTAGGATTGGTTTTACTGAGAGATCGAGGATTCATTCTTCACCAAGTTCGAAGAATTACTCTATGGATGGTTTTGGTATATCGGAATAGGCCGATAGATGAACAAAATGGAAGGGTTGTGGTTGTTCTGCTAGCAGTTGAGGGATTGATGGAGAATTGTTTCAGGTTACTTAAGTACGAACGAGCAGTCGGGAAGCCAGATTATGATAAGTTTCAG